GAATAGTTAATCGCCATATACATGTCGAATTTGCAACTAGTCCCTAAGAAAATTACGCGGAACTGTTATGGTAATTTTTTATTTTATTTGCATACCACGTTATTCGATGTTTAGCTACGGGTACATTCCACCCGTACGTACTACGTAATAACGGAATACAGATTTTTGTTCATTTGCTTGTTCACATGAGAAATACAATGGACGTTCAAAACAATGACATTATGAGCGAAGTTTTGTTCTCGCATGACACGGTTGCTGGTCACGCCGACAGGGCTACCGACGTAAAACCAATAAATCAAATAGAATCGAAAAATATTCTTGCGGCGTCGTGGTAAAATATTAGCAGACATTCAACAAATCGGGAGGTGGAGCTTATAAACGTATTAATCTATAGAAAGAGATTTGCTTCTATTGAGCATTTTCATATTTATCTAAATCTTTTAAACCTTCTCTGAACTTCCACAAATAATTCAAGACCAAAATTAGCCAAATCGGTCCAGCCGTTCTCGAGTTTTAGCGAGACTAACAGCAATTCATTTTTATATATATAGATAGATGATAAGATATACACTAAAAAACGTTTTCATTAAAGCTAGTTGTACTGCTATATTTTGCATTTGTGAAAAAATTAAGCAAATAGCAAGATATGTGGGTAGGCCTAATTAAATTGCATGGTTCTTAAAGTTAGCACCATGAAAATTGTTTCTTGCCTTTTATTTTGACAGGACCGAAAAAATTTATCTCTATAATGTCGATACGATACCAATAAATTGGGATTCAATTTGTATTGTGACTTTCAGTGCTACTACTGTGACAGTTTTGAGATGACAACCCTCTCCTTTGTAGAGCAATTCACAATGCACTCGACTCCTATTGTCCAGTACTTCGCAACACTTTTTTTGCTAAAATATAAGCAGTTCCCTCTGCTGGAATTTCCGAAGAATAGTTCAAAAACTTCAGCAGATACGTGCGTGGCGTCCGCCAGCTGTCATGCGAAGTCGAGTGAATGCGGTTGTTGACCTATGAATGACAAATATTACTAAAACTGCTATTCATAGTATTATTACAGTTTTCGTGGTCACGGATGACTAGGGTATTATTCATTGGCGTTTGCATATTGTGCTATCTACCGTCTATTTTTTTAATAATAATATTTCTGGATTTTTACTGGTGGTAGGACATCTTATAAGTCCGCGCGGGTGGGTACCACCACCCTGCCTATTTCTGCCGTGAAGCAGTAATGCGTTTCGGTTTGAAGGGTGGGGCAGCCGTCGTTACTATACTTGAGACCTTAGAACTTGTATCTCAAGGTGGGTGGCGCATTTACGTTGTGGATGTCTATGGGCTCCAGTAACCACTTAACACCAGGTGGGCTGTGAGCTCGTCCACCCATCTAAGCAATAAAAAAAAAAAAAAAAAATTTTTACGTTTGATTTGACACGGAATGAACTGACGATATCTTGAGATCTGCCAGCTTGTTTGACTTGGGTTTTCATCTGCATGATAAGAGGATCCCAGGTGTTAGATAAGCTCCAATTGTCTTCGGTATTAAAGTTAGGATGTTCTTATTTCAGTGACCTTGCGTACCATACGCAGAATTAAGTAGTTTTCTTTAAAGAGTGTTTGTGTTTTACCAAATCTTATGAAACGGTAGGCACTGCTGTCTAGTGTATTTTAATAAACAGCGGACTTGTGTATCCGTAATTCTTCACGTAAACATACATAAAAATAAGGTTAAGCCTTAAAGTCAGTTTAATTATACCGCTATTTTTGTTTGACCTTGGAAATTAATATGGTTGGTTGGTCTATTACATTTGAGTGGTAATTTGTTATTGTTTGGCCACGACACGGATTTCTGTATTTTACCACATTATAATTATGTCCTAATGGAAATATGGAGAATAATATATTATGTATAAGCCACTGTTTATCTTAATGCTTTGGGATTGAGCATGTAAACGCTCATCAATTTGAGAACTCTCGATTAAATTGGAATATAAAGATTCTTTTTCGTGGAAGGAAAGCAGAATACCGGGTTTTTTTTCTCTTTTGCATAGATGGGTGGACGAGCTCACAGCCCACCTGGTGTTAAGTGGTTACTGGAGCCCATAGACATCCACAACTTAAATGCGCCACCCACCTTTAGATATAAGTTCTAAGGTCTTAAGTATAATTACAACGGCTGCCCCACCCTTTAAACCGAAACACATTACTGCTTCACAGTAGAAATAGGCAGGATGGTGGTACCCACCCGCGCGGCCTCCAAGAGGTCCTACCACTAGTAATTACGCAAATTATAATTTTTGCGGGTTTCATTTTTATTACACGATGTTATTCCTTCACCGTGGAAATCAATCGCGAACATTTGTTGAGTGCGTATTTCATTAGAAAAATTGTTACCCGCCTGAGATTCGAACACCGGTACATCGCTCAACACGAATGCACCGGACGTCTTATCCGTTAGGCCACGACGGCTTCGGCACGTTACACAGGAAGCTGATACTGCCGTGCAGACAAGATGTAAGCTCGTCTGGCTTGCATATCTGCAAAAGCCGGCGATCATTAAGCAAAGGCAACTGAGATTTTAGTTAGTCTTAGTAACAAAGTGTAGTCTTGGTTTAGTCTTAGTAACAAATGAAAAGAATAAACGGAAACTAGTAAACAAATCAGTGCTGCAGAATGGTGTTACAAGTTTAGTAACTTAATATCATTTAATAATAAAAGACTCTATAAGAGGAACGTCGCAACGCGCAATCACCAATTTCACACACAACGCACTCTGTACGGAATGAAGCGCGCTTAATTGCTTCGGCAATTAGGATCTGCAATGAGCGTTCCAATTATCGTGGCCATTAGCAAGAGGACGAATGTCGATTTGCTATACATACATCTTATAAAAATTTATCAGTTGTGTAATAAATAAAGAAAAATGTGTGTGTGTGCAAGTCACACACGGTAGAAGTGAAGCGTATAAAAACTAAAAATAATCGCAAGGTTCAACCACCAACCACTCCGCAGTGCAATGGAGCGGCCTCACCCTGGGGGAACCGCCTGCATGATCACGGTATCCCTACGCCAGGTAAGTATGGTTTAGCAAGAGAAATACGAGAACGTCCATCAACTGTATAACATCTCGTCACCACGATTCAGGAATTGTTGAATTTACGTGCTGCGACATCTGTTGATAACAAACTAAATAGAAATAAAAGTATTTCAGGGCGCTCCGAGAGCCACGAAAGGGTGCACGGACGTCAAAAACACACTGAATTAGTCGGGGACTAATATATTAAGTGTATAATCTATGGTCGGGGACGCGAAACCGTGTGGAGCGCTTCGTGATTTGTCGGCGCCGCTCGGAGCCGCTTCGGCAAGCCAATTGCGGAACACTTATTTTTTCGTTTCGTTTCATTACGTTTCATCGAGTTTGAAATCACAACGATTCTAAAGAAGTTTCACTTCAATACATGAGTCGTCTATTATCAAAGGTGGCAATCTGTGCATTTGGACAAAAAAATGTTATTGATATGTCAATACAGATTGATTTGAATATAACCGTCTCCTTCAAAGAATACGGTTCAAAACCTGCATTAAATAAAGGTTAATACTTAACCTGTTATTTATCTAAGATGTCGTTCAGAAGAGTTTTGTGACTGCCAATGGAATACAAAGTCAATAATTCGTTTTTCTGATTTACCAATAATTGTCCAAAAGTCACATTGCCGGCTTTGATAATAGTCGACTCACATGTCCGTTGAGTTTGTTTCGATGATTTGTCTAAGGAATCGGCTTGGAACGAATGTTAGAGTTTCTTTTGGATATCAACGAGAACGTAACATAAACGTAACGTTAAAGAAAACGATTTTATTTTCGATTTTCCAATTACAGATAGAACGAAAAAGACTGGATAATCCTAGATTGATTTGGAGCTTCCGAGTCTACAGAAGGACGTGTAATGGCCCGGTATTCCATTCGAAAATTTGGATTTTCCTACCATCGGTACCGTCAGCCCCGGGTAGTGAAATCGTTATATGGAGTATTGTGCGGTATGTGTGATAACGGAAACATAAAGTGGGCATACGACCTTTCCCACCTGATAAAAAAAATAAGTCTTATTATTTATTGCTAAGTTTAAACATTCTCTAATAGGTTCTCTATGTTATTTTAAGTCGTCATGTCCCATTTTTTTATTTTTTTTTTATTGCTTCGATGCGTGGACGAGCTCACAGCCCACCTGGTGTTAAGTGGTTATTGCCCATAGACATCTACAACGTAAATGCGCAATCCACCTTGAGATATAAGGTCTCAGTATAGTTACAACGGCTGCCCCACCCTTCAAATCGAAACGCATTACTGCTTCACGGCAGAAATAGGCAGGGTGGTGGTACCTACCCGTGCGGACTCACAAGAGGTCCTACCACCAGTAAAAATATTAGTCTATATGCCATATATCATGAGTCATATTGTAGAACAAACAAATGTATACGATAAATAAATGATAACGATTATTTAAAATTAAAAAAAAAATTTAGGATTCTATAATGAAAATTTGAATATTTAATTTCACGTCTATAACAAATAGTCGAACGAAACTGTAAATATTTTTCACATTTTGTTTATCATATTAACATATTACTATATGTACATTGTATTACAAATTGTCTGTTTATTCAAATGACTGATCAATAAGCGGTGTTAACCTCGACACGACAGTTTGAGAAGCGTTCGCGAACTATTCATTAAATTTTTTAAACAAAAATACCTTTATCTTCTCAGTGTTAAAGGCGAAGCTCTTATTCCAATGTATGTTTTTACATAAACTGCATTTTCACTGTCTTTTTTTGATAGTTGCGGTTGCAGTAGGCAGCGACTTGGCTCTGTCTCTGGCATTGCTGAAGTCCACGGGCGATGGTAACCACTCACCATCAGATGGGCCGTATACTTGTCTGCCTACAAGGAAACAAAAAAAATTATAATTATTGACTGAGCTATTACTGAGCTATGAGAATGAATTTTTTTTGAAAATACTACTCAATTGTTTCAGACTTTCGTAAAATTATCTTGTTGTAAATATTCGAGTATCTAGACGTCGCGTTGAATAGCTGTAGTTGAGTAGTGCTAGTCTATAGACATTTGCTATTACTGACATAGTTATATTTTAACAAAACTGCGAATCTAAAGCAGCATTTGGCATAACCGATTTTACGTCTTGCTTTTAGTTATTTTGCCAAGAGATTTTCAGCATTATTTACTAAATTATTGAGGAGTTTGTACATATACTCGTAGTGCAGTGTTAATAATGGTTGTGAAAGAAAATATCGATTTAGAACACGTTCTATCGAAATTTAGTTTGACGAGAATGTTTTACGTGAAGTTTTTGAGTTTGCTGTTATTTTCCGGTGTGACGAATTCATTTTACAATGTCAACTATGTTTTTGCAGCCGCTGATGTTCGTTATAGGTAATTAATTATTAAAAATTTTTCATTAAATATTAAAAAAATATTAAACATTATTTTAACATTTTCGTGGTTTAAGCGTGGTTTAAACTTTATTTGTGTTGTAGGAAAAGCAAAAAAATGCTTTTGTCGTTAGGAAAAATGTCAAATTAGTTCTGTTAAGAAACTTCACGAATTTATCTACTTACTAACTTATGAATTTTGCGAATCGCAATCTAAGCGGTGTTCTTCGCGACAAACGTGTTCTTCTAAATCCGCCAATACATTTTGGAACGAAATTCCTTATGGGACGATGCGGAGGGGTACTCTAACCGGGAAAAAACGTCTGTAACGTAAGATTTTTATTAGTAATGCACACAGTGTACGAATTTACTGGTGGTGGGACCTCTTGTGAGTCCGCACGGGTAGGTACCACCGCCCCGCCTATTTCTGCCGTGAAGCAGTAATGCGTTTCGGTTTGAAGGGTGGGGCAGCCGTTGTAACTTACTTGAGACCTTAGAACTTATATCTCAAGATGGGTGGCTCTGCCTATTCATCAGGAGCTCCATTCGAATATATCAGCGGTGCTGTCTGCTTGTTTTATACCACCAGCTAATCGGAAAACTACAAACAAAAGTAAGCTAATCTTTCCTTCTTAACAGGTGCAAGTACCCGGAATGTGATAATAAGAATAGTGAAGTCTTAAATTTTACCTTCGACAATAGAAAATGCACAAAATATGCACTATTAAATGAAGCTGAATACTGTTCAGTAGAAAATATAGATCTTTCTCGAGGGACTAGCTGCAAAGAATGGGTTTACGAGGAAAAAGGCAGTTTTGTTGAAGAGGCAGGTTTTTTTTTTCTTTTTCTTTTATTGCTTAGATGGGTGGACGAGCTCACAGCCCACCTGGTGTTAAGTGGTTACTGAACCCATAGACTTCTACAACGTAAATGCGCCACCCACCTTGAGATATTGAGATATAAGTTCTAAGGTCTCAGTATAGTTACACGGCTGTCCCACCTTTCAAACCGAAACGCATAACTGCTTCACGGCAGAAATAGGTAAGGTAGTGGTACCTACCCGTGCGGACTCACAAGAGGTCCTACCACCAGTAAAAAATGTCTATAACGTCTTATTTTTAGCATAGCATTAGCATAGGAGGTTGGGGTGGAAGCTCATGTTTGCTTTATGTGAGTGCTAACCAAATTGGCTTATCACATAATAAATCTAATTTAAATGGTATAGTATTTGATGATGCGTGAACTTTGATATTGCTCCCTTGCGTATTTCTGCAGCGAGGTAATCACATGGTTCTGTTCAAAGGATAGAATAACTACAGGTGTTCGGGATACAGTGCAACACGGAGCCCCAATCTGAAGGCTGGCGATGGCAATTTTCATGTTATTATTATTATTATTATTATTATTTTTATTGCTTAGATGTGTGGACGAGCTCACAGCCCACCTGGTGTTAAGTGGTTACTGGAGACCATAGACATCTACAGCGTAAATGCGCCACACACCTTGAGATATAATTTTTAAGGTCTCAGTATAGTTACAACGGCTGCCCCACCCTTCAAACCGAAACGCATTACTGCTTCACGGCAGAAATAGGCGGGGCGGTGGTACGTACCCGTGCGGACTCACAAGAGGTCCTACCACCAGTAATTACGCAAATTATAATTTTGCGGGTTTGATTTTTATTACACAATGTTATTCTTTCACCGTGGAAGTCAATCGTGAACAGTTGTTGAGTACGTATTTCATTAGAAAAATTGGTACCCGCCTGCGGGATTTGAACACCGGTGCATCGCTAGATACGAATGCACCGGACGTCTTATCCTTTAGGCCACGACGACTTATTAATCGAGTCTAGCAAACAATTGTTACAAAGTGGGCCGTAGGTATGCCATGCCAGAAGAAATGCTTTCATACTATTTGGTAGTATCAAGAACCAAATATAAACTCACAAGAAGATGATGAGGGTGTCGTTTTGATATAAATATTAAATATTGCAGTTAGGAACAGCCTGCGAAGATTGGAAGCGGACTTTGGTTGGAACAGTGCACAGCTTCGGGTATATGATCGGTCTGCTCATCGTGGGACCATTGGCCGATAAGTATGAATTAAGAATGCTACTTATTTTTGACCTGACAACGTCTTATAATTCGATGGAGCCGGCTACACGCACGAAAAAGCATGACTCATGCGGCGCTACCTCGCTCTGAGGCGTTCCATTTAAGGCTTGAAGTGCAAGCGAGAGCGCGCAACGAGCGACAAAAAGGCCCAATCGGCCTCCGCGTTCGGCAGCGTTCGACATCTGTCTCTCTCCTACTTGAGTGAGCGATGCATCCGCGTGGACAGCTGCTATACAATAATACATTTACATGTTTTCGTCAAGTATGAAGTTCAGTGAAAAGTGAATGTGGTGTCAATTGTTTGTAGGAACGATAATTGCGATAATTAAAAAATGAAACCATTCCATCAGTATTTTCTTATGACGTTGTCACGTTCAACTATCGTCAGTAAACCGACTTTACAGACAACCGATTTATTTATTTATGTATGCAATGCATCTAACGAACTGCTGTGGGTCGCTTTTGAATTTCTCTTTCTTTTTTCCTAACTATTCTCGTGGCCTCGAGTGGTCATACTAGATTCACCAAGCGAGTAGGTGACCTCTCGGGGCTCTAGCCAGAGGTCGTTGCTAATACTAGTCCTAGTAAGACCAGTGCTTCTCAGAATCTACCACCGGATCGGAAACGTGACACACTGAGACGATTCAGCGAGATACTCAGTGGGCTGTGTTTATGGGTTAGTTTACTCGCCGTACCTTTTGTCGCCAACGACGAGTTCGACGAGAATGGTGCTTGAGGTACCTAAAAGCACCGTCATTTAATCGGGAGGATCCAAAATGACGTGCTTAGGGCCGATTTTCTCGGTTTGAAGATGAAAAAATTAAAAGGTATCAGTAAAAGCAAGCAGTGTGCCAAATTATTATACTGATAATACGTTACAAGAATTATCAAGTGATCGGGATCCAGGTTTAGTAAAAAAAAGTGTTTTCTCGAAGTGTCCCGAAAAACTGTCAATAGCTTAAATGCATGTACATTTTCGGCGCGAGCCATCGAGTTCTAGTGGTAGAATCAGTATACGGACTAGAAATAGGGTAGACAAATTTCCGCTCCTGTCGCAGTCCTCAATCTACCTGTGATAACGTCTCCGAAATATCTGGAACTCAATATAACTATCCATTAAGTTAGTGTTTAAAACTTATAGTCCTGTTCAGAGCTAAGCAGGGATATAATTGACATCAACTAAAATTATCGTCAAATATTAATTTATTTAAAAAAATTACAGTTCAGTTTCATGTATAATCATTATGCAATCATAACTAATAACGTTTTTGTTCAAAATGGGAAATAGAATGGAATATCTGACGTGTTGTAACAATCCCATAAAATAATTAGGATCGAATAAGTTTTTTTAGCGGCCTATATTGTACCTTAACCTATGTGCCTGTTTTGTATTTTAAAAATCACTTCCCTTTCATTTAATTGTTTTACAAGCTCACTGGCTATTTATTACCTGATCAACTTGCTACTTTGTATAGCTATTTGGAATTTCGAGGACAACTTCACACGCATCATAAGTGGTGCCAGCGATTTTATTTTGATTTACTATTTACTAATACTAATCTAGTTTCCAGGTTAGGCAGAAAAAAGTTGATAGTTTTTTCTGGAATAACCGCTGCGACGATGGGCTTGGGTAGGAGCATCACATCTTCCTACTGGGTGTATGTGGTACTAGAGCTCATAGAAGCATTGTTTGGGGACACTTATTCAGCTACATTTATGCTGGGTTAGTTCATAGCATTTCTTTAACTTACTCGTTGGTTCGAGAGTTCGATATGTCACATTATGTGGTCAATAGTGTGTGATTATGTCCACTAGTTCTTAACATTTCCAAGCTACTTAATCTTCCACGGTTGCATTAAACATATCTTTCTCGATTAATATACAGAAATGTCATAAAAATTAGTACTTTTTGTCATGTAAAATATATTTTAAATGGCAAAGTTTCTTTCAGAAAACATTTTACATTACTTTTAAAATATGGTTTAGAGCTTACAGATAAAAAAAATTTTTAAATACTTTATACTAATTTATCTTACAGGTGTAGAAATGGTAACAAAAGAGAATAGAGTTATATTTATCACTCTCATGACCGCTAGCACGGCACTAGCCGGCATAGTAATGGCATTAATAGCATGGGCCCTACCTTACTGGCGGCATTTCCTTAGAGCGATATACGGTCCTTCTTTATTCTTTATCATGTACATATTTCTATTAGACGAAAGTGTTAGATGGTTACTAATCAAAGGACAGAAAGAAAAAGGGAAGGAGATTCTAAAAAAGGCTGCCGAAGAAAGCAGGGTTGAGCTGAACGCTGACAATATTAGCATTAAATGTGAGGATGGATCAACTAAAACTGATATGGTGACACTGTTGAAAATTACTTTTCGCTCTAATAAATTGATGCTAAGATTCCTGGCGTGTGTTTGTATGTGGATAACGGGCATATTCAATAAATACACGTTGTTGATAAATTCAGTTGAATTAGAAGGGAATAAGTACATTAATTTTGGTCTGACCACGTTATCCGAGTTGCCGGCCAGTTTCGTGTTGGGTTTTGTTTTGAAGAAATACAAGAGGAAGATGCCTTTAATATTTTCATTTATTCTGACCGGGATATTTTGTGTTGGACAGTCTTTTGTACCAAAAGGTAAGAGTTAAAATTATTTACCTAGTTTTGTTTTATTCGATTTTCACGAGTCATAGACTTAATTAAAATAATTTACTCTTATTTACTTTGTCTGTCATCACGGCAAACATAAAACTTCTTGTACATATGTCTGGTGCTATACCCTCAAAACTACTCGGCATTTTCTCTCTCGGTTTCAGCTCTATATAATTTTTTTTAAAATATTTTGTTTTTTTTCACGTTCTCATAATAAAAAAATGATGTAAGTACATAGTGTTACTTTTAAAGTTTGCATTCCCGAAATAATAAGTTAGACGGAAATTAGAATAATTTTCGTCGTCAACTTACTTTAAAAACACCTTAATTCTTCCTATAGATTTCATAAAAAATGACTAAGGCATTCATGGGATAAAGGACAACAGCATTCTTTTTAGTTTTATTTTAGCGTACCGCCATCGCCAAGAGGCGTTTACTGATGATAAGACTAGGGATTGTGTAGTACGGCTGTCCTATCCTTTAAGCTGGAATTAATTTCATTACTGTTTGGCGACCGCAGTAGGCAGGATCTACTTATTCACAACTGAATTCCCATTTTCAGGTAACGCCTGGCTTTCATTAGCATTATTTCTGATCGGAAAGTTTATGGCAACGATATCATACGCTACGGTGTATCTTTATACGTCGGAGCTCTTCCCTACGTACACAAGGAACACAATGCACGCATTATGTTCGTCTTTAGGAAGGATAGCATCGATTCTTGCTCCTCAAACGCCTCTATTGGTAATTTTTCTTATTTGAGTTACACTATTAGATGTGCTCCAAGCTTACTGATGCATTTTTTTCGGTATAATGCAATCTATGGTGACGCATCAAAAAGCTGCCTATTTTTGCAGCAAAATAGTGATCAGATTTGAAGGGTAGTTTTTTTTTGTTGCCCTTGTCGGCAGAAGAGCATACGGCCCACCTGATGGTGAGTGGTTACCGTCGCCCATGGACTTCAGCAATGTCAGAGGCAGAGCTAAGCCGTTGCCTACCGCATTGTTATAATACGACGGAGATTATCATACCGTATGGTGCAGCACTGGGATACAAAGGGATTACGGGAATGTAATCCACCGCCAGAAAAGTTGTTTGTTTATCGGTAGCAATAAAAAGTAACTTTAAATAATATTTAATTATTACAATATATTCGATGTTTCGTACATTTTTTCCCTCTAGATACATCACTGGCCAGGTCTCCCTTCAGTTATCGTTGGCGGGCTGTCTCTAGTGACTGGTACGGTCGTGATCTTTATGCCGGAGACTTCGGAGGATGTTCTACCAGACACCGTCCGTGAAGCCGAAGCAATCGGTACCAAATTTGGCCCGGACACGTGTACCAGATTATGAATATTGAAAAGATTCGTGAATTAAATAATACTATGTACTTTAATATCAACATATTATTCGTGATAACTTCAATTCTGAATTTGACTATTCCCAATAAATTATCAGTGAAGTGTCGGAAGCGGCCAATATCATACATGTTGCGTTGAGTTTTCTTAGGGCATTTTAAGTTTTTTTGCTTTTTTTATTGCCACATATAGACCGAGCAGCATATGGTCCACTCGAGAGCGAGTGGTTCCTGTCGCCCATGGACATCAGCAATGCCGGGGGCACAGCCAAGACGCTGCCTACAGCTAAGTACTCTCCACAAGCTTTGTTGAAAGAAGAAAGAGCCACTTTGTTAAGCCTATTTGTAACATCGTGTATGAATAATCATGTTAGTGGGTTCATACAAAATAATTGTTTGTTTGACATACTTTGAACTATATGGTATTTATATTTGTATCTATCCGATATAAAGTGTTCAGCTATAAATATAATATAATTTGAATTCTATTACAAGGTGCGATGAAAAAATAAGCCAATACCTTCATACAGAATGCTAGGTTTCTTAACGAATTTCCTATGAGCCCAACCGTAACTCAGTTGTATGATTTCATAATACCTAAATATATGTATTTTATTGCTTAGATGGTTGGACGAGCTCACAACCCACCTGGTGTTAAGTGGTTACTGGAGCCCATAGACATCTACAACGTATATGCGCCACCCACCTTGAGATATAAGTTCTAAGGTTTTAGTATAGTTACAACGGCTGCGCCACCCTTCAAACCGAAACGCATTACTGCTTCACGGCAGTAATAGGCAGGGTGTTGGTACCTACCCGTGCGGACTCACAAGGGGTCCTATCACCAGTAATTACGCAAATTATAATTTTGCGGGTTTCATTTTTATTACACGATGTTATTCCTTCACCGTGGAAATCAATCGTGAACATTTGTTGAGTACGTATTTCATTAGAAAAATTGGTACCCGCCTGCGGGATCCAAACACCGGTGCGAATCCCGTGCGAACACGAATACACCGGACGTCTTATCCGTTAGGCCACGACGACTTCGGACGACTTCTTATTACGTCGGACGTCTTTAGGCCAAGACAACTTCAATCATTGTAGTGTAGTTACTACTTTACCTACCCTTTACCTACCCTTTGCTACCTGCTGCTGCTATCCGGAAGGTTCGTTGTAGCTCCAAGCTCAAAGAAGTGTGCCAGATACTATTTAGAAAAATAAATATCAATATTAATTAGATACTTTAAGTCACATTCGTGTTAATTATATTCTGTTTAGGCAGCATCAGCATTTTCGTCACCTACTAAATTAATTACAAATTGATAATTTGTACAAATAAAATACAATCTATTACTTTTGTGCTAAATTTTTTAAATATTCATGTGTCAATAGAATTTTATTTTTGTAGCACGCGATCTCGTTTATATGTCTTTTGGGCGTTGAAGATCTTAAATATTAATAGTCGGCCTGACTGTTAGCCATAGGATACGTTTATGAAGTCTGTATGCAGGGACACCTTCCTGTGTGCTTAGTGCGAGTTCTTTAACGTTTTATAGCGTAAAAATTATCTCATATTTGTATGGAATGGGATCGCTGTCTACGTTTGCCGTTAGGGGCGTTGTACCAACTGCATACAAAATTAGCTTAACTTTTACGCCATCGAGAACGTTAAAAAACCCGCACTAAGCACACTCTTTTTGTGATTACGGTGACACTGGCCGATGTTGTTTCGCTAGACCAGATAGCTGTATGGGAGTCGTACTGATGTAAAGTTTCGTCGCACGTTGTTTCTTGAGAGCATAGTCGCTTAGCCATACAGTTCGAGATACCAGGAGGCATTTTTTTTTACCTATGCTGATAGCCTTGAGATGCTGTATCAGCGTTACCCTAGCGTGTGGGTGAGCTCTGGGAGCTTAAACCGGAGGTGTTGCTAGCACTGACCCTAGTAAGAGCAGTGCTTCGCAGAATCTACTATCGGATTAGAAACGTGACCCACTAAGAAGATCCGGCGAGAAACTCAGTGGACTGTGTCTGTGGGTTAATTTACTCGCGGAGAAAGCGACGGCGATGACGGTGACCGGTGGAGGCCTTCGATGTATTACGTTGTAGCAGAGCACGGGATACCAGACCCGTAAGCTCACCCGACTGGTACCACAAGCATTCCCAGGATAGAATCAGTATAAGGGATATTCTTTATAATTTTTGTCATAAAGAATCTTCATTGAATTAACTTAAATGGGCAGGGGCGGATGCTATGTCCGGTTCAAGCGTGAATGAGCATCGAGGGTAGAGCTTTGCTTACTGTGGAGCTTTTGCTAATCGCCGCTTTTTGCTATGTTAAATACCACCTCTGGGATAGTAAATATTGTTCAGTAATCCTGTACTTAGTACAGTTTTTGAAAGTAATTTGTTGTTTTTCCCTACATTACTTTTACTGGGGGTAGGACCTCTCGTGAGTCCGCGCGGGTAGGTACCACCACCCCGCCTATTTCTGCCGTGAAGCAGTAATGCGTTTCGGTTTGAAGGATGGGGCAGCCGTTGTAACTATACTTGAGACCTTAGAACTTATATCTCAAGGTGGGTGGCGCATTGACGTCGTAGATGTCTATGGGCTACAGTAACCACTTAACACCAGGTGGGCTGTGAGCTGGTCCACCCATCTAAGCAATAAAAAATAAATTAAAACAAAACATGAAAGGTCCAATAAACCAGCCAAAAACACATTTTTCCGGCTGATATTATCGGTAAATTAATTAAAATTGGATCGATTTCATGAGCATGTCAGCCCATGAGGAGGAATAGAGGAAATTGAAACATTTGGTCTTTAAATTCTTCAAAAACCTTTTCAATTACTTTGTTGATAGGCGGCGTTGATACCACGAACCGTCTAAATAAATTTCGAAGACTCTGTCGACTGTGACCATTCATGATATTCCACTTAAGCCCCAAATCATATCGAGAGGTGAAAGGCTATTTGGTTTAAGCGACATTTTAGCAACTTTACAGGAGAACTTTACTTACAGGAGAGCCATTTAAAGTTTAGAATTTGGAAAAAATATCATACCAAAAAGCTCTTCAGATATTCGAATGGGGTAAAAATTTAATTAAAGTTTACTTAAAAACATCGAATTGTTAATCTATATATCTATATATATAAAAGAAAGTCGTGTTAGTTACACTATTTATAACTCAAGAACGGCTGAACCGATTTGGCTGAAATTTGCTGAAGAGGTAGCTGAGAACTAGGAGAAGGACATAGGATACTTTTTATCACATTCCCATGGGACTTGACATAAAGCTTGGTATGACAAAACGCAACTGATATGGAATAGCAAAGCGCAAATGACAGCTAAACGTAATAATATATTCTATTGTTAATTATAGTAGAATTTTGAAGTTGATAAGTTGATGTGTTTGAAACAAACCGTGTGGCGGAACCAAGTTCGCCGGGTCCGCTAGTACTAATATAAAATAAAGCGGATTACAAAGATAAATGTCGCGTATTAAGCAAAATATCGCTTAAGCCAAAGAGCCTTTCACTCCTCCATATTCAGAAAAAAATAGGCATATTCGATTAAAACATCAGACAAGCAGTAAAGGCCGCCATCCACTTTGGTACATGGGGTTAAATACTCAATTGTATTGTAATACGGTTACCAATCCTTCAAACCGACAAGCATTACTGCTTTGTGGCAGGAATAGAGAGGGTGGTTGTACCTTGCGAGTGTTCTATTAAGAACAAATCTCTTACACGACAGGAACGCCTTAAAAACACGACTCTTAGCTAATGACATCTGTTTATCCTTAGTTTAACAGGTGACAAGTGCTTAGACACTTTTGTACGTCCTTGTATGTCTTTTGTTGTCTGATTATGATAATCTAGAATTTATAATAGAATCATTTTCTATTTCAGTTTCGGGAATTTTACTATAAAACTGTAAAGTTTGATAGATTTTTGAATTAGGTGTTGAAATATTTTCCGAGATTAGGCACTACATATTTTTGTACCTAGTCTGAATTGATGTGTCTGTTTGTAATATTGAAATAGCCACTTTTTACTACATGCATATACGGTACATACACCAAAATAACATTTTTTACAATTTTTGTCTGTCTGTCTGTCTGTTTGTTCCGGCTAATCTCTGGAACGGCTGGACCAATTTTGACGGGACTTTGACTGATAGGTAGCTGATGATATAAGGAGTAACATAGACTACTTATTTTTAGACTAGCTTCGCCCCGCGGCGTCATCCGCGGTACGACAATAACCGCTGGTAACATCGCGGGACTCCTCTATCAATCAATAATAACATTTAATGTTTCCGAAGCGAAGCGAGGGCAGGTCGCTAGTCTTCAATAATTCGTTCGTCAGTTGTTTAAAAACTTTAAACTTAGTTAAAACCATAGTTTCGGAGTTATCATCGTTCGCCTAACGACAACTTGCAGTTGTAAAAACCAAATTGGATCAGCAAAACTACATAATTACTGATAAGCTATTTTGTATTTTCGCAAACTTTTCAATATTAAATTGACCTTGTTCGAAACGACACAAGATGTTGTAGCAACGAGTGTAAGCTGAATTGCATTTAAAAGTGAATAATTGACTTGTAATTAGTATTTACTCAGGAATGTTTACTAAGTAATTTCACACTTAAAATTACTAACAATAAGAGTGAAATTCTTGTGAATTTAAATACAAACTTTATATTATGTCTCTAAAATAATACCGTAGCTATTTTGAAATTGTTTTCTATTTAAATGGAAATAGGTTTTGTTTTAGATAATTTAGAATATAATTGTCTGAGCTGTCTGTTTACTGTATTTAAAAAGAGATGAGGAAATTTTCTTTTCATTTATATTTTAAAATTCAGCGCGAGACTCTTATTGTTGACTGTTTCGACTATAAATTAACGTAATTAAAAGAATTTTAACATGTTATGAACTTGAATATTATGTATATTCATAATTTTTTTTAACATCCTAAGTAAATTACCGATTAGTTAAACTTGAGTGGTTTTTAATTATTTATCTTTGAATAGGCCTTGTATAAAGGTGGTACTATTAAAGTTATTGTGATGTCTATTAAAAGTAAGGATGTATTGGAAGAACCTAATGATGACGTGGTGTTGGAGAAGATCTTATCGAGGTTCAGACCCTTGGGTCCGTATTACAGAAGATTCATGCCGTTTTTGATCATCGCGACCATGTCAAATGCGTTTTACTGCATGAACTATGTCTTTGCCGCAGTGTCGGTGGATTATAGGTACATAATATATTACGCTCCAGCCAGTGTATTGTTATTTTTATTTAATTAGTAAGGGACTGAGATGACTGTATTTACTAAAGTTCTCTTTAAATTAGATTTGTTGATAAAATAATGAATACATTTTTGAAAATTTCACTCAGACGTTGAGAAATTGTCGGATGTGTTTGAATATGAATTGAATTCTCACAATTTTGACGCTACGAATATCAAAGTTCAATGTTTTTCCAGGTGCAAGTATGAGTGTGAAAGGAATCATAGCTTAGTGGGCTCAGCACTAAACCTAAGTTTAAAGGCAGGAAAATGCTACAAATATTCACTCATAGACGAGAACGGAGACTGCTCTGTGGATAATTTTAACGTCTCAAATGTTGAAGCCTGCAAGGAATGGGCGTATGATGAACCGGAGAGCTTCGTTGCTGAAGTAAGATGATTTTTTTATGTCTCTGGATTTCGGTCTCAGTATCTTTATACTTAGACATAACTTTTTAGTCTGAATAAGTAATTTCGTTTCATTCTAAGTCAGAGAAATTTGTATGCAATTTTAACTTTTATGGTTTTGGAGGCTTACACATAAGGTACGCTTTCTCTCTGATGGATTGGATTAACATAATTTTTTTGTACGTTGTTTTTTTTAATAGCCGTTGTAGAGCAGACGAGCATACGGCCCACCTGATGGTGAGTGGTTACCTTCGCCTATGGACTTCAGCAATACCAGGGGCAGAACTAAGCCGCTGCCTACCGTTAAGTACTCTCCACAAGCCTCGTTTGAAGAAGGACATATAGCGCTCGGGAAACACCGTGGAGGGGAGCTCATTCCAAAGCTGGATGGTACGTGGCAAAAAATATCCCTGGAAACTCACCGTGGATGACCGCAGTGGCTCCAGGTAGTATAGATGAACTATACTGCGGTGGCAGGAGGTGCGCTTTTAAAAACGAGATGATATCATTTCAAAAAATTCCTCAGAGCACTCCCCATGGAATACACGTTACAAAATACAGAGAGTAGCGAAGTCCCTTCGCGGTCCCTGAGGTTCCAAACGATCCGTGAGAATGGGATTATCGACAATCCGAACGGTCCTCTTCTGTATGGAGTCAAATGGAAGTAGCTGGTATTTGGGAGGCCCGGCCCATAGGTGGGAGCAGTAGTACATGCGAGGCCGGACATGTGCTTTATAAAGCAAAAGTCTTTGTCCAGGCGTGAGGACTCTCAGTATTTTGGACGCCAACTTGGCTTTGCCGCGCCAATGAACGCGCAAACTTTCGCGCTCGGAGATTCACCCAGAGAGTTCTCCACTTCGGACACATGTTTTGATCGTCTTTCTTGCACCGCGTTCCGAGAGAGAACCTGATGGCCGATATATCGCGCATCCCCGGTGCTGTCATCCGCATAGCAATGCATGCCATCAATAGACAGCGTGTCATTGATATACAGGATAAAAAGCGCGGAGGAAAGCACCAAGCCTTGTGGAACGCCAGCCTTAATGGTTATGGTATCGGAGCAGCAACCGTCTAGAACGACTGTGATGCTCCACCCATCCAAAAAGCTAACGATCCACCTACAAAGTCGGGGATTCCGTAAGATGTTTTGTTTTTCATTGAAAACTTTTCCTTACTAAAATTCGAAAAAAAACCTCAGTGTTTAATTGATAAAACTAAAACTGGAGAATAACTACTACAGAACAAAGAAGATTTGTTATAATGGAAGACACTGCACAGTTTTATCCATTCATTACATTTCAGTTCCAGTTGGGATGTCAAGAGTGGAAGAGGACTTTGGTCGGAACAGTGCACAGCTTCGGCTATATGCTAGGTCTGTTGTTATTGGGACCGATATCTGACAAGTAAGTTCAATTATTTGAGTTTAAACCTTACTGCGTAACTATTATGCGCGAGTACATTATATACTGTATGAATTAACGTGAAAGAAACATAAAATTCGATGGTCCTTAATTTTTTTATTGCATAACACAGATGAACTGGTTGGCGTAACCCATTCCCATCATCCTCATCCCCGCTTGCCTCTCACCTTGAGACTTAAGTTCTAAGTATCCCGATTACATAATAATAGTTACGCAATTTACAAATTGATTTTTATTAATAATTAAAGCACATCGCTAAATATAAGTTTACTTCTTTTGACAGACAAAGTCAAACCGAAAGACATTATCAGTGTAATTTCTCTCTATTTCTAGGGTAGGAAGAAAGAAATTGCTGGTATTCACTGGTATCGTTGGAGGGATTTTGGGCTTTTCAAGAAGCATCATTAGCTACTATTGGGCTTATATCGCTTTAGAACTATTAGAAGCTTTACTCGGAGATTCTTATTCACCCAATTATATGTTAGGTAGGTATTCTAGATTAAGATACTATCTTAGTCTGTAACTATTTTGAATACACCAAAAATAAACTAGTGAACTATTAACAGGGCTAGTTGCTTTCAGTATTGGACTGTTTGCTAATTGATTACATAAGTTCATATAAAACTAAAGGTAAACGCACCTCATCCAACGATCTGTTGAGAAAATATCAAGAGGGCTTTGTTTTTTCGTATTTTGCTTTGATATTTGGAATGAGCTCCTCTCCACGGTGTTTCCCGAGCGCTTTGACATGTCCTTCTTTAAATGAGGCTTGGACTCACCATCAATCAGGTCGGCTGTATGCTCGTATGCCTAGAAGGGCAATAAAAAATGGTACTGAAATCATTCTGGATTCAAATGCGAATAACAAGGTAGCCAATAGCTAGTCTCTGATCCCTACGTCAGCCATTGACAATATAGAATAAAGATGTTTCCTTACTTCTTATTTTGCTGATAAATTGGCTTTTGTCACCAAATCGGATAGATAAAACAAACAAATCATTACTACATTTACAAAAATGGTGGTTTTAATTATTCCTCTTAATGATATCAACACATCTAAACTATATCTGAAAAAAAAACCCGGGCGAACAATAATTCTTGAAAAATTCGAATGCATAATGAAGGTAATTGGAGCTTTTCTACTGTATCACCAATTTCTAATTGATTCCCTTTTTAGGTGTGGAGATGGTGGCGAAACAGAATCGAGTATTTTTCGGTCCACTCATGATCGGGAGCATGTCTGTAGCTGGCATATTATTATCTCTAGTCGCTTGGCTTTTACCAAACTGGAGATTGTTCTTGAGAGTTATCTATTCACCTGCCCTTATATTCATACTATACGCATTCTTCTTAGACGAAAGCGTTAGGTGGTTATTAATCAAAGGTAAGAAGGAAGAAGCGAAGAAAATTCTCAGGAAAGCTGCTGAGATCAGTAACCTGTATCTAGATGAAGAGACTCTTGATAGTATCGAAAGCGAAAAGAGCACAGATTGCACTAGTTTCATTAAATTGCTCAAGATGACCATAATGTCTCGGAAGTTGCTCCTTAGGTTCCTGGCGTGTCTCTGTATGTGGATCACATCTACGTTCAACAAATACGCTTTATTGATAAACTCTGTGTCTCTAGAAGGAAATAAATACGTTAATTACGCTCTGATTGCATTCGCCGATCTCCCGGCCAGTATAACGTTAATATTTATTCTCATTAAATTCAAGAGGAAAGGATCGCTTATGTTCTCCTTTTTCCTGACGGGGCTGTTCTGTGTTATACAATCACTTGTACCAAAAGGTAAGATCATGCAAATTTTCATGTTTGTTATTAAACGTGTTTTTACAAATAGTTACGACTGATATTATGTGATCAATAAAATTATGCTTAAGACAGTTGCTGATTAACCAGAGTAATAACAATATATAAATTTGAAATTTATTCTCAAATTTCATATCTATGGTTAATACTCGTATGTGCTTACTTGTCATAATTTTGTTTCTTTTTTTTGTTAAGCTGGACACTATGATAATTCACCAAAGTACTTTTTTATTGCTTAAATAGGTAAACAAGTTCGCGCCCACCAATGTGTTAAGTGGTTACTTGAGCCCATAAACATCAACAACCTTGTTGCCGCCACCTATCCCAAGACATGAATTCTAAGTCTTAGTTTTTACAGTACAAAGGTTGCCCTAACCTTCAAACCGAAACGTATTATTGCTTCACGGCAGAAATAGGTAAGCTACCCGTGCGGACTCACAAGACGTCCTACCACCAGTAATTACGCAATTTATCATTTTTGTGGGTTCGGCTTTTTTTACACGACGTTTTTCCTTCACCGTGGAAATCATTCGTGAACATTTGTCAAGTGTTTCGTCAGAAAATTTGGTACAGTCTTGTTTTTTGGACCACGACCATTTAGGCAGCATCTTGGTTACAACATTTCGTGGTGTACACTCCTGACATTGCTGCTGTGCATGAGCGGCAGTAATCACTCACCATCAGGCGGGCCATTCGTCTGGCCACAGCGGCAATGAGTTTTAGCATTTTGTTAATAACACCTTAATTTCTAGGTTACTCAACTTTATCCCTATCGCTATTCTTCATGGGGAAGCTTGCCTCAGCTCAGTCTTACGCTACTGTATACTTGTATACGTCCGAGCTATTCCCTACGTATACTAGGAACACAATGCACGCTGTCTGCTCGTCAGTGGGTAGAATCGGATCGATTCTTGCACCACAAACACCGTTATTGGTTTGTAAATCCTTTGTAGGTTCAGATATCGGATATGGTTATTGGAAAATGACTCGTCTCTCTTTGTGAGCGCTACGGTGGTATGAACGATATCTTTGTAAAACTCACACACGAAAATTGATTTTGGAATAACCATATTCGATTTTATATTTAAGTAACGAAATACTGTTAATAATCGTAATTCGTTTAATACAATGGTTAATCTAGAAAATTCTGTGATACTCAGAGGCAGTTTTGGCCGGGTCTACCTTCAGTCATCATAGGTAGTTTGTCAGTGATCACGGGTATGATAGTTATGATGATGCCCGATACTGCTGAGGATGTACTGCCAGATACCATCAAGGAAGCAGAAGCTTTGGGTATGAAGACAGTTAAGGACAAGAAAGCTGCAGTGAAATTGTTGAAATAAATTTTATTTTGTTTTTCGATATTGTTTTTGTTACTTTGACAAATCAATGGACGACAGTTATTAAGCTTGATCCATTTTTTTTGTTGGTTCTCCGATGTTTTTGTTTAATACCAGCAAGAAAGTGAGAAAGTTAAAAGAGTAGTGAAAAAAATTTAAACAGTTTCCAAATCATTACGAAAAAAATGTCACTAATAAAACATTTATGAAAATATTAACAAAAAAAGAAACCGCCTTCAAAGAAACTATTCCGGAACAAATTAATGTGCACTGAAAAGTGGAATAATAATTGCGTATTCTTCTATAACTTAATAATACGATAGTATACTAATTATTGTTATTTTTAGAGTCGTAACTTATTATGTATAACGATAATATAATTCAGTTACAATTATTGTCGCGACCGCGCTCTCGCCTCTCGCCGCGTCAAGACGTGCGTGCGATACAAACACATGTCACCTACGAGTATAAAACTATGTAGCTACAAGCTTAGCTAGGCTGACACACATATATCACACCAATTCGGTTCTCTTTTAACATATTTCTTTTGACGTGACAACGTCTTATAATTCTATGGAGCCGGCTGCACGCACGAAAAAACATAACTCATGCGGCGTTACCTCGCGCTGAGGCGTTCCATTTAAAGCTTGAAGTACAAGCGAGAGCGCGCAACGAGCGACAAAGAGGCACAATCGGCCTCCGCGTTCGGCAGCGTTTGACATCTGTCTCTGTCCTACTTGAGTGAGCGATGCATCCGCGTGGACAGCTGCTAAACAATAATATATTTAAATGTTTTCGTCAAGTATGAAGGTTCAGTGAAAAGTGAATATTGTGTCAATTGTCCATACAAAATATATATCATAAACAAATAAAATTAAAATTTTCTTTTGAAAAAAGAAACCATTCCATCAATATTTTCTTATGACGTTGTCACGTTCAACTATCGTCAGTAAACCGACTTTACAGGCAACCGATATTTTTTTTATGAATGAGGGATTACTGGTGGCCCGAGGGCCTCTTTAGTTTCACCAGGACAGGTGGGCGAGCAAAAGCTCAGCCAGAAGGTGTGGGATTTGCTAACAGCTGCCCGAGGACATCCAAAGCAGACTTTTAGACTTTTACTGGTGATAGGACATTTTTTCAGCCCGCACGGGTAGGTACCACTGCCCTGCCTATTTCTGCCGTGAAGCAGTAATGCGTTTCTAATTTTGAAGGGCGGGGCAGCCGTTGGACTGCTACAATTGAGATCTTAGAACTCTTGTCGCAAGGTGGGTGACGGAATTTACGGTGTAAATGTCTATAGGCTCCGAAAACCACTTAACACCGGGTGTGTCTTGAGTTCATCCACCCAGATAAGATAATAATAATAATAAAATAATTTATTGCCTTTCACACGAAATAAATAATAAAAAAAGGGCTCATCAGTCATCAATCAGCTAATTTATTTATTTTTTATTTTATTTATTTCATTTACTTCAGATTTTGCATCCATATTACACTCATTAACATTTCATTTATACTAGAATTAAATAAAAATAATAACTACAATCTCGGACTAACAAAATCAATAATAATAATAATAAAAACAAAAAATCAAAAAATAATAATAATAATAAAACAAAAACTCAAAATTAACATCAAAATGCTGTTCAAAGTCGATAAATCGAACAGCGCTGATTTTCAGTCACCCCAGTTTCCCTTTGAGCATAAGCATAAGCGTAAGGCATTATGGCATAAGCAATAAAAATATATGTATATATAAAAATCGGTAAACGTACATATTTGTGATAATTCAAGAAATCTCTTAAACCTAACGTCTATACCGAATAGCTCATTCTAGCCGTGCGCCAAAAATAGTAAGGTTGACTCGAAAATTGCCAACAATGAAACCATCGCCCTGCACATAACAATAGAAAACTTCTATTGAATAGAAAATTAATTATTCGAAGCTTACTTTCAGTTTTCAGAACACTGTGACGTTAATTTAATAGAAAAAACGTAGTAGCAGTAAAGTTCCTTAACGCTATTTCGCCTAAGGAATTTTCTAGATGATGATTGGTTCATCTACTAATACTATTATATTTTTCTAATGTAGGTATACCTGAATAAAATGGATTTATGTAGACGCCCAATGAAAGTGCATTGATTCTAATCGCCTGGGCATATCATGTTGAAATTGGGTACTTAAAATACCACATTTTTTAATTATCTTCATAAACATAAATGGAATGTTTTTCCTAATGTTTGTTTCTACGTCACTAAGTGTCCAATTGTGATGAAGCTTTGTGCTTTTGTTTGAATGCTCAACGAAATATTTCTATCGTATTATCCATTATTAAGTGGCCTGTGTAGCCTTAGCAAAGAAGGTCTTACATCATTTACTTACTGTTAATCTTAGCAAGCCCTGAGACTTTTGCAAAGACTTTTGCTTTCTAAAGCACAAGTCCGGCCTCGCGTGGAGTAGGTACTGCTCCCATCTCTGGGCCGGGGGTTCCAAATACCAGCTTGTTTTTATTGCTTAGATCGGTGGACGAGCTAACAGCCCACCTGGTGTTAAGTGGTTACTGGAGCCCATAGACATCTACAACGTAAATGCGCCACCCACCTTGAGATATAAGTTCTAAGGTCTCAAGTATAGTTACAACGGCTGCCCCACCCTTCAAGCCGAAACGCATTACTGCTTCACGTCAGAAATAGGCGGGGTGGTGGTACCTACCCGGGTGGACGCAAGAAGTCGTACCACCATTAAAACTACTTTCATTTGACTCCATACAGAAGAGGGCCGTCCGGATTGTCGATTATCGCATTCTTACGGATCATTTGGAACCTCTGGGTTTGCGGAGCGACTTCGCTTCTCTCTGTATTTTGTACCGTGGGGAGAGCTCTGAGGAATTGTTTGTGATGATTCCATCATCTCGTTTTTACCATCGCACTTCCCGCCACCGGAGTAGAGTTTACCCATACTATCTGGAGCCGGTGCGTTTCCAGAGAATTTTTTTGTCACGTACCGTCCGGCTTTGGATTGAGCTCCCTTCTACGGTGTTTCTCGAGCGCTATGACATCTCCTTCTTCAAACGAGGCTTGTGGAGAGTACTTAACGGTAGGCAGCGGCTTGGCTCTGCCCCTGGCATTGCTGAAGTCCATGGGCGACGCTAACTACTCACTATCAGGGCTACAAGGCCTTAAAAAAAAGATCAGGTTACATACAGTATAATACAGTAAAATACAGTAAAAGATTATAAAAATGTTTTTTTACATATAACAATCTTAATTCATTATGTTTCATAAAATTACAATTGGAAGTAAATAAAATCGCTTCGATAATATTAACATCTGAACAGAGGGTACCCACTCAGGATCCTTTGATCCTACAGTAAACCTTTATACGTATAAAATGAAGTGAAAATGAACTGCAATTAGCTAAATTGCCGGCGGTCCTAACGTGAGATCCCGAAAAAAACTCAATGCGATAAAACCGACCTAATCCTAACTGAACTAGGGATGTCAGGTCAATATTTTTCCAATAATTATGAGTTTATATTGATTTTTTTTTAATATACTCTCTGTGATTCTTCATAATTGTAATGTTAATAGCATCATGTTTGATAGAAAAAGGGTCAAAAAAATAACTTAATCTAAAAACTAGACTGAGTCTTCACACCTAACTCACTGTAGACCTTTCTAGAAAATTTTTAATTCACGCACAAAATGGTGACAAAAACAACTAAATTTTGTATGAACCGCATTCTATTATATTTGTTAAATGATAAAGATTTTTTTTTTAATTTAATAATACTCTTATCTAGTTTGGGCGCTAGACAAGCTGTTACGTCGTTTTGTTACGACGTAATAAAGCCTAATACAAAAAACAAATAGAATTTCATTCACTATTCAATTAAAGACGAATTACGTGTAACTACAATGCAAATTTAAATCACGGACGCTTGCAACACCAGCGCGGTCCACTTCAGGGGACACAATTTGTGGGAATTGCCAGTTAAAATGGAATCGTTCAGTAAAACAGTCGCACCGTCGCCTGAAATTATTCATGCAAATTTCCTCAGATGACAGAACGCGCCCTCAATCAGGGACGATGGCCAAAAATATATTCACGCCGTCCAATGCCTCTCATGCTCTCATTTGAAATGTTCAACAATTAAACGGACCCTGTGTTTGATTGATTTCACGATCGAAATCGTTTCGTTACACCGATGTTCATGCTTTGCGATTTTAATCAATTTTTAAACGAACGATTCTTGCGAAGGTAAATACTGTTCCTATTGACTATGGCGATTACCACTGTATTTTTTTTTTTTTGGAACGAAGTTGGACGATGCGGAGGGGTACCTTAACCGGGAAAAAAAGTCCGTAACATAAGATTTTTATTAGTAATGCACAAAGTGTACGACTTAACTTTGTAATAACGTACAAATTAGTAATGCACACAGTGTACGACTTAGCTTTGTGATAACGTACAAAAAATATCATATTTTTTTATCATTCATTGACCACGATCTCAGAGCGTTAGTTTGCACAATACACTAATTCTTATGCAAATAACCGTGAATGAAGTGCACCACAATAAGTTCACAGGTTACCGAATGACCGTGGGCTGTTGCGAAACCTCCAGTTTTATTTTCTTTATACCTCGAATAGAACTTAATATTATAATTTTTATAATAAGGAACTTCGTTTCTATCCGGTGTCCCACGACACCACACATCTTTTTTTTTGTTTATGAGGAGGGTTAACTAATGGCTTGGAGACCTCGCCAGTTTCACCAAGACAGTTGGGCGGGCAAAGTCTCAGCCAGGAGGGATGGGATTTGCTAACAGTTGCCTGAGCGCCTCCAAAGAAGATCTCAAGAACTCAAGAGCAGCTGCTTCGCGAAAGAATTTCTGTCCATAAACATGGGCAATTTATTGTTAAATTGGGCATTAGTGAATCTTAATTTAAAAAACGTTAAGCATAAAAGTCAACATTTTAAATAAAAATACCACTACCGAATTTCAATGAGGGTGC